TATCTTAACTTCCATCTCCCGCACCARCCACTTGAATTTCCTCCTCTCATTATTGTACTTCCATAAGCCATTGCGATCTTTAATCAGCCACCCTTCACCACCTCTGAATCCCCTTCAATTAAGAGTTTCCTGATGTTCAACTCCTTAGATTTTTGGACTCCTTCCATAACTACAAATATCTCAGCTCTAAGGGAATCACCCACTCCAATTGGGCCTGAGAACATGGCAGAAATGACCCCATTTTCATCCCTAAAAACACCCCCAATCCCCGATTGTCCCGGATTTCCCCTGCTACACCCATCAAAGTTTAGTTTCACGAATCCACTAGGTGGAAGGGGTCCAAGCCACACTCATTACTGACTTAGTTTGTGTGCAACTTGCAATTTCACCCCACTTCCTCAACAAGTCATCCATAGTGTAATCTGTGAAAAGCTCCAAAGATTTCAGCCACTGTACCACCCTAATATGAATGATAGCCCTCAGATCTGCTACTCCTCTTTGAGCTTCTGAGAATATCCTGGAGTTTTTTTCTTCCCAAAGTGTCCAACATACTGCAGCCCTTAGTCCTCTCCACATTGTCCTTCCCCTTTTTATCCACCACCGGAAAAGAGAAGGGGGAAAAAGGCCTTTTAAGTCTGATGGGGGGTTCCAACTACAACCAAATAAGGACAAAGCCCATTCCCAAATTGACCTCGCAAAATGGCAAGACACCAGTAGGTGAAAACCAGTCTCCCCATCYGCTTTACAAAGAACACACCACTGAGGTGACAAACAAGTATTGGGTCTCTTGTTTTGGAGTAAATCACCAGTGTTGATTCTTTTCAGATAGGCTTCCCAACAAAAACTATCAACCCTAGGAGGTATTGCTCTGCACCAAACCTCATCAACAGGAAAATGAGGGAAGGTAGGACTGGTGGACTGACTTAAGACTTTGAATCCCTAAAGTCCTGTTTTGCGCAATTACATTTCATTACAGAGCTTTAGATTCTTTGATAAACTGCCACCATAATTTTCCTAGCAGTTACATGTTACTCTTAAACGTTGAACACCTAGAACTCTACCAACCAGATTTGAACAGACTTTTTCAATCAATCAAGTGGCATTTGAATTTATTATTTCACCTTCTAAAATAATTGTCTTTGTAATTTTTTGTACTAGCTGCAAAATTAGCTAGAATATGCAATATAGACTTGAAGTAGGTACACTGGTGATTTACTTGTATAAGAATAAGCTTTCTTGCCTCCAATAAATAGCATAGTTTCCACTTTCCAGAATGCTAATCATGGGTTTGCAAATAGGTTTTTAGGCATCCTGCTGCTCCCATGGTAAATCAGCTTTTAACCCTATTTTATCCCAACAGAGTCCCCATGAATCCTTGTAACCACACTTGTTCCCTAATGGATCTATCCTGGGCAGCCAGCACTTTCCCTACCTGTTACTGTCAATCTCTGAATCTGCCCCTCCATGGGTTGTTTTGTGGCACTTGCGTTCCTTTCTCTTTTGCTTTTATTGTTTGACCTAAATAAACAACCAAACACATAAGGAGTACGCATTTTCCCCTATAGAAATTCACAGGCTGTGATGGTATGAATTTATACTTTTTGGTCATTTAGATATATGATTGTTAAGATTGGTAACAAACATCATTGTTTAGCAATAAATGCTTTTTCTGTGTGCGTTTTTACTGATGTTTATTCAGCCCATTGAATCAGTTCTGGCATGCACTGTGTTTGAACTTTGAACTGCCTTGAATATACTAACCCTAAGTTAGAAATAGGAAGTTGGAAAAGGTTTCAGATAATCTAACCTGATCTGTCATAATAGACATGCAACTTGATGGTCTGATGCTCCTTTTCTTGGGACAGTCTGGGAGAGCAAGAGTACAAGTAACGTCAATATGACCCTCCTTATGGGTGTCATGGGTCAGGGTATAGACTGGGTTCAGTCCTGGTTTAGTTCTTGCTTTCAAAGTCAATTTTTTGGTTAAGGTTGGCCTTTTTTTGCACCTGCGAGCATGAGAACTTTGCCCAAGCAAGTAGCTTATGTTTCTTGAACAGTGTAGTCAATGTTGCTAAGTGATTCTTTTTGCTTCCTTGAGCGTGTTGATGGGTTCTCAAGTTCCTCCCTGCTTCCACTTTGTGCTCCTTATAATTTCTTATTCCATCTTAGAGTCAGATTAGAATAAGTGATCGGTTGCAAGTTGAAGGGGCAATAAGGGCTGGGGGCATACAAAAAATGACAGCCACATGGGCTGAAGTAGTAAGAAATGCTTAAAGTGCTCACAATTTAACAGTAGATATGACACTAAACAGAATGGGATGGTGAAGCAGGATTCATGTTAGCAGACCCCATATAGTAAGGACAAGGGTTAGAAGATGATGATCTTAAAGTCAGGTTTAACTAATGTAGTCTTTCTCTTTGGTTCAGTAATTGTTATTCAATGCACATTAGTCAACCATCTCAGCCATTTTTCTTTCTCATCAGCTGTTGGGCTGTTCTTGAGTTTCCACAGTTTCATACATTTTTAGTTTTATCCTTGTTTCTTTTTTTTTTTTTTCAATCGTTGTATATAAAGTATAGTCTGGTCTCATAAGCCATATTGTAATATCTTAGTTCTTGAGAGCATTTTTCCCCTCAGTGCATATCTTATATACTCATTCTATTATTAACTGTTGATGTAAACGATCAACCATGTTTACTTTTATATGCATGCCAAGTCTCATAACTGTATGGGCTACTATGCTAATTCATTTTTGTTTTCAATATCCACTCAAAACACATACTTGCAGTTATTTTTGGACCCAATATTGAAACTGGGAGGTGCACTTTGGAACATCACAAAGAAAATATGCAATTTATTTTTGATAAAAAAGCAAGATCTATTTTTTTTTGTAACAAGCAGAATTTAAAATTGATAGCCTCTGTTTAGTATCAGTGTTTTTTTTCGATAAATACTGTTTAGTATCAGTGTTATGAGGCATTACAATGTGTGTATTGACTTTCTTTTTAATTTTTTCCAGATACTGATTTCCAACTCCATAGCAGTTTTTTGGAGTTACTTGTATTTTTCTCACTAGTTGACTTTGATACTCCTAAGACCAAAACCTTTCTTATCTTCCTACAATTCACTGCTTACTTGTGGATTGCATTTACTACTTTTGCATTTATTTGAGGATTAATGTTACTACATGAAACAATATTACTTTAGAGGAGCTTTATTCTTTCCATGCTTGTGAGGGAGAAGCCAACTACATGTTGGTTTTAGCAGAAAATAATTTCTGACTTTAAAAAAAAACTTTTTTTTTGTGTGAAATTGAAAGTCCATCAGTGTAACTGCTGAGCAACTCTTATGTGAATGGTATAGATTTAAATTAATGCATTGGTTGAATAGAAGGTAGAACTATTCTGCCACATATCAAGTATCTTTGAATTTGTCATATCTGTTGTTACCACTATTTGATCTTTCTTGTTGTTTGCTGGACTAATTATGTTACTTACACAGCTAAATGTTAACCAAGCAACACGAGAATACCTAGAACGCTATGTTGAAAAGAAAACTGAAAGGGAAAAGAAACTCAAGGAGTCTGAAAGTGAAGGTGCTGAGAAAGAGGAAGAAAGTGCACCAGGTGTTGAGAAGAATGAAACCCCAAAGCCTCCTGTTGAGGACTCAAAGAAGGATGAGAATGATTCCACAGAGAAGGAAAACCAAGACAGTACCACCTTTGGCATTGTGACTGAAGAAGATCGAGAAGCTGACAGGGAGGCCCTGGAGAAGCTTACAAGTATGATTGAGGAGAGGTTAAAGACCAAACCCCTGCCTCCTCCACCCCCACAAACACCAGTTGATGGTTCTGGAAAGTCAAATTCTGAAGTGCCTACCAAATCAAGGGATGGGGACTCGGATGTTGATATCATGAAAAGCGGTGAGTCACAATGGTGGAATGACAGAGCTTTCCTTGTCTGTGCCAGTAAGGATGGATGGAGGGTCTCTGGCATGGTGACTGTTGAATCATTGGCATCTTGGTCAATTTTCAGAACCCATCCTTATTACACAGATTATATTTGTTGTTTTTATTTTTCTCATTGGTGGTTATATTTTAATTTTGGTTCAATGTTTTTTCTTTTTTGATCTCAATGTTGCAGATGTAGCAGAAGATAAAAATGATGGTGAGACAACAAGTGAAAACAAGGCTACAAATGAGCGTGATAGGTCAGAAACAAACTCACCTGACAGGAGAAGATATGATAGGAGGAGTAGGGAGAAGGACAGAGAGCGTGATTTAAAACGGGAGAAGGAACGAGAACTAGAAAGGTATGAAAGGGAAAGGGAGAGAGAACGGGTTAGGAGGGAGAGGGAACGAGAGATGAAGATACGAGAAGCTGAGCGTTTGTACAAGGAACGGTTAAAGGAATGGGAGGCTAGAGAAAGAGAGAAAGAGCATCAACGGCAGCATGAGAAGGAGAGGGAGAAAGAAAGAGAACGGGAACGCAGGAGAGAGATCATGGACCAGGAGGATGAGAGTGATGAGGATGATACAAGAAAAAGAAGGCGCAGGAGTAGTTCCTCTGAAGAGAGGAGGAAGAAGAGGCAACGGGAAAAGGAGGATGATTTGGCTGACAGATTAAGGGAAGAGGAAGAAATTGCTGAGGCTAAGAAGAGGGCCATTGAGGAGCAGCAACGGCTGAAAGATGAACTCAAGAGTCAATTAATTAATGGAAATGATAAACCTATATTTCCTGAAGAAAGCAATGAAGGTAGACATGATTCTGCTGAACAGGCTTATGAAAGTGATACTGATCATGGTAATCACACAGGTGAGTGTCTTGTAAGTTTTTGTTTTTGTGTTTTTAGGTAATTTGTTCTATTTTCTTTTATTGAGAAAGGTGTGGGTTGTTATTTAATAGGTGATATGATTCTAAGAAATGGCGCTACTGATGAATCGTCCATGGGATCTGTTGCTGTCACGGATACAAGGCAGAGTGGTAATGCACCAACTCGGAAGCTTGGATTTGGTCTGGTAGGTTCTGGAAAGCGGACTGCTGTCCCTTCTGTTTTCCATGAAGAGGATGATGATGATGCTGAGAAAGAGAAAAAGATGAGGCCTCTGGTTCCTATTGATTACTCCACAGAAGAGCTGCAAGCTGTCCAACCTACTCCAGGGGCACCATCTCCAAATCTGGCTGCAGCAGCTGAATTTGCAAAGCGTATCTCAAATGTTAACCCCAAAGAAGAGAGGCCTGATGCAGAAAGGGAAAGAAGTAAACGATCGAATGACAGGTTGAGCCAGCGGGATCGAGATAGGAATGGTGAAGAGAGTAATCGTAGTAGAGATGACAACAAAGAAAAGAATTATGAACGGGATAGGGATCGTGAACATGGTCCAGATAAGCTGAAGACACCTGAAAACAAGAAGCTTTTGGATGCAAAACAATTGATTGATATGATCCCGAAGACCAAGGAGGAATTGTTCTCATATGAGATAAACTGGGCCGTGTATGACAAAGTAAGTGACATCACATTTAGCTTAATTGCATGCACACTCTGGCATATAAGGTGATTTTTCCTCTAGTTGTCCTGAGAGAGGATTTCTTAAGAGGCAACTACTGAGATCGTCATATGCCCATCCAATTATTCCCCATAGCTGCCGTAATTGAGTGTTATGGCTTGTGGATATTATTATGTATTGAGAATTTTATCCTTTGACATAGTCAGCTTAGTCCCAAAGTCTAAATTAGCCATCTGGATTGGCTAGGTTTAGACGTAGCGATCAATAATTTTTTCAATAGTCCATGTCCCTTTTATCTGCTGTCTCGGGATTTTGATGGTTGAATTCATCACGTTGGAACAATGCTTACATACTGCATGCCATTGACAGCATGAGCTGCATGAGAGAATGAGGCCCTGGATCTCAAAGAAGATAACCGAGTTTCTTGGGGAGGAAGAGGATACTCTGGTTGACTATATTGTGTCTAGTACCAAAGATCATGTGCAGGCATCTCAAATGCTGGAGTTGCTGCAATCTATCTTAGATGATGAAGCGGAGATGTTTGTGCTCAAGATGTGGAGGATGCTCATCTTCGAAATCAAGAAAGTTGAGACAGGTTTATCTTTGAAGCCTAGGACCTGACAAGCCAGGTATTATTTTTTTACACATGGTATAAGTAACGTTCCTATGATTTCTTGCCTTGGTATCTCTCACATATTTGACTTCATTGTTATTGTAGAAGAAACATAGGTTGAAAGGAAGTTTGCCCTTGCAGCTCTTTTTCATTTTTTATAAAATTTTAGCCCTTGTTTTTCTTTTCTTTTTTAAACGTGCATCAAGTTGAGATTAGCAATCAAATCCTGATATTGTAGTGGATACATGGTGAAGAAAGTGAATCTATCTATTTTATCCAGTTCAAACAGTTCTCTAAGAGGTGGTTAGACATTCACCTGAATTAGGGTTCGATCTCCGTCACCACACTGTTATAATTCTTGCCTTGAGAACCAAAATGTAGTGAATCTTGATTTGATGATGTCATTACATTCTTAATGGTGGGATTCATGAACTTGGGTTCTGGCTTTCTAAGATATATATATCAAAGAGATGTGATTTTTTAGCATTTCCGACATCTCCCCGAACCATGAGCGTACAAGAACTCATTGGTGGAACCAAGCACATAAAATTGAGTTGGAAGGAAATTTTCTCCAACGATTGGTACTTTTGTATTCAATATTTGAAGAGTTCCATGAGTAACTGGCTTCCTATTTCATGGAGGCAATGCATTCCTTTTTCACACTTGACACTTCTGGATCCAGTTTACTAGACTGGAGCTGCAAGGCTGGTTGTTTTGTTAGAGTATTTCTGCAGACAATCGACTGTATTTTTTATCATCATTTAAGAAAAGAAATTCCCTCTTACCATCTTTACTCTTAGTGTTGTCAACGTGCAGATTTCTTTTCTTTTTGTCTGTAGCTGTTATGTTATTTGATGTAGCTCAAGCTCACTAACTGTTAGACTTGGGCCTTGGAAGTGTTAATTTGGAATAAGTGCTTATTTCGGCTGGGACCACACCACTAAGCACTTATTGGAATTTGGGAAATAAGTTCAAAGTGTTTATTTTAAAATAAGGGCTTATTTTTTAAGCCCAAATTTTCAGTTTTTTAAGTTCTAAGCACTCCATTTTTTTTTCTCAAAATTGTATCCTTAGTTGAATTTTATAAAATTATTTTTTGTAAAAGTACTTTTGTAAAATATCTATAAAAAAGTACTTTTGTGAAAGTGTGTTTTTATAAAAATAATTTAATGAAAGTACTTTCACATGGTATATTTTGAAAATTTCAAAGAAAATGAAAGATAAAATTGTCACAAATGCTTATTTAAGTGTTGGAGAAAAAGACCATCAAACACCCAATATTTATTTATTTTTAAAATAACCACTTGAAAAAGTAGGATTTTAAATGCAAATAAGTGTTTATTTGAATAAGTACTTGTTTTTAACATAAGCACTTTCAAACATGTCCTYAATCTGCAATGGTGTCATGTTTTATCTGATTTAAAATGGTGATGGGCTGTATCGCACCATYGATATAAAATGAAATTGTTCCATAATTCCATTGCATTTGAAACCATTATCCAACCACCTAAATCGTCATGGCCTTGCGGGAATGTTTTACAAAATTTAGTCCTAATAATGGCCTGCATTTCATTCTGGGCATCTCTAGGTAATGGTTGAGATGCCTAGGAAATGATGTGGAAGTTGTGTTTCAATCGGAAAAAAAGCCTTCAACTAAGCGTCTGTTTGGCATTGATGCTTTTGCTCCAGAAAATGGTGATACATTAGCACCATGTCCAAAAAAACGGTGCTCTAGAAAATGGCTGTTTGTTTGGAATTGTTTTTTTTTGTTTTTTTTCATAAAAACTGGTGCTTCAAGTCATGTCATTTTCTGGAAGGCATGGCTTGGAGCAATGCCCAACATGGCATTTTCTGGAGTTGCAGTTTATTGCTGTTAACAGGGACATGAGGTGGCAGTGACAGGGGCATGATGTGGTACTGGATAATAGGTACCAGTGCCRAAAATGTTTTCTGGAGCATTCGTGCCAAACATAAAAGGTTGCTGTTGCTTTAGGAAACGTTTTACCTGGCAGTAACATTTTCAAACAAAAAAAAGACCTCTCAGAAAATGGTGCTTTCAATTCACATCAGCAGCACCATCTTTTAAGAAAACGGTGCTGTATTTGCAGCATCGATGCCGAACATATAGGCAGATCAAGTGGGGCCTTAATTTAGTCATGACACTAATTTGGTCAATTCATACTGCTGTTCACGTAGAAGACTCTGGATGAACAACTCGTTGAACCCCGCACAGTCCACATGTACCCCCATCTTCTTGTTCATGGGCTAGACAACGGCTGCATTTGCCTGTTCTCATGCCAATAAAACTCCCCATCCCAAATCCTTGTTACGACCAGCCAGAGAACTTACTAGATGAGCCACAATCAATTGGTACATGAATTCTATTCTTAAACCTTGTATCGGAGTTTTTATTCAATGGGTATTTTTGCCATCTAAGTGGGTGCTCGCCAATGAGTAAGATTTTTATTCTTTAAAATAATTACAACTGTACAATCTATGATATCGGAAAATATGTTTCAGGGTAAGCATTGGCCAATCAAAACCCCCTTGAATTTGGATGGAAACATCTGATTGGTTACTCCTTTAATGATGTGGTTGATGGTTGATTGGTAGTCAAACTCGTCAGATCAATAAAGATAATATGATTTTGCTGATATGGCAATTTTGCAATTTTTTTTAATTTCACTTTCAAAGTTGCAATTTTGCAATTCTTTTTTTTTTTCTCTAAAATTTCAGTTTCAAACTGTCTTTCTAGAACTATAATACACATGACAAGGCCTTCTAGGCTCAAATTTTGATATGGGAATATGGTGTTGGACCAAATTTTGAAGACAGATTGGATTCAAAAAGTAATTTACATCCACTGTTCTGACCCATTTCTAGACAAAATCCCTTTGTCATACTTCGTCTATGTTTATGAAATGAGTGCATGTTGGAATAATTGCTTATTTGATAAGTGCTTGTTTTTCATTATTTATTAATTTTTGAGAGTTCTTTTCTAAAAGTACTTTATTTGTGTTGCAGTGTTCAGTAACTTGCTTATCTCATTATGCCCTTATATTTGCAGAAATGGCAAATAAAGCCCTACTAAATTATTCAAAATAGATGAATAAAAAGCTAGAAAAAGAGTAAATAAAGGATTTAAAATTCACTATTAGAGTAGATGCCATCGACTAGGGTTGATTGGGTGTTGGATCTGAAAAAATCACAAGCAAACATGGTGTTAAAATTTAAAAAATCAAGGGAAAATAGAAATGATTTGGAGAAAGAATGAAAAATGCAGCAAAAAAAAAAAAAGAAAAGAAAAAAGGAATTAAACAGTGATGTTTTAGAAACCTGTTGATGAGATTCTACAATAATTGCTGCCGCTGCGAGTTTAGAGAGAAAATAATAAGGTGTGGGAGCAGTCCCTAGAAAATAAATAAAACATTGGGGATTGTCTTGTTCCAAAAATGCCACCTCTTGCTTATCTTTTAATTGCTTATATTGAAAGCAAGCACTTATTCTGGGCTTATTTGCCAAACTAAGAACTTATTTTTTACTTATTGCGTCATCCCAATACTACTTACAAATATGCTAATATATGAGTTATACTATTAGCTTCTTTATTTAAATCATGGTTTTTAAAAAATGATTCGAAAATGGAACCTGATGGTGCACAATCCGGTCGGTTTTAGATGCCGGTAACCTTGCCTTTGACGGAGTCGAAGATGCCTGAAACAAGGAAGAAATTGGAGGTTTCCAGGGAAGAACCCAACAAGAATACTCCGAAGCTCAAGTTAGTATTCTTGAGAAGGCAAGGGAAAATAAGAGATTTCAAGACCAGAAAGCACAAATATCACATACCTCTTTCTCTGGGGAAGAAGGTCTTTTATAACCACCTGGTGCACTCACTCCCAAGTTTCTGCAAAGTCAGGTATAACCGCCTCTATGGGGGGCAGACATAACCGCCACTGTCCTCTCTGTCAGGGCCGTCTCTGCCACAATTGAGATGGCGGTAGCAGGTGGCCGTTACGGCGTGATTGCTATCTGTCAGATCCAGACCAGTCAGGCGTGCTGCCTCAGAGTACGGACTTGTCAGGTACGGTTTCACAGTTGCGCGATCTGGAGCCGAGGTGCCGGAGTGGTGCGCGAGGTGAAGTCGTGAGTTTGAATGGGAGTATGTCCTATGTCTCGAGGTGCCGACATATGGTCCGAACTGACCCGAGGTGGGTTAGTCCGGGCTTTGCCCCTCGCGGGCTTCTCTGTTAACCTCGGGTTTCTTAGGGAGAGCTCGGGTTTCACCTCCCAGGAAGTGTGGGTTCCTTTTGGGGAGCTCGGGCCTCTTCTTGGGGAACTCAAGAGCTCGGGCCTCTTCTTGGGACGTGGCCGTGCTATGTCGTCGTGCCGAGCTGACGTTCCTGCCAGGTCACCCCGGTTTCTTCCACGTGTCGCACAACCAAGGGGTCGGGCCAAATCTACCTCCATCAGAACCGTTATGGCCACCGGTTTTCGTGCCGACGGTTTGATCATCCGGTTTGAACGGATGACTCATTCTGATAATAAAAATAAAAAATAATTAAAAATAAAAAATGGCCAAAATCGTTTAACGGGTTGGCGGTTTGACCACTCAGGTCAATGGGTCATTGACCAATTCAACGATTTTTTGACCAGGGATCGGGTTTGGGGTAAAACGGAACCAATTCCCTAAACAATTCTTGGGCTGAACGGTCCGACCATCCGAGTCAATGGCGGTTCGAAAACCATGATTTAAATGACATTTGCATATTCAAAAAAAAATCCATAGATACAAAATATAATCTCTGTAAATCAGATCTAGAAAGCTATTAGCTTATTTTTCATTTAAGAATCTGCACAATGTTGGGAATATCCGAAATTAATTTGATATGCTTTAAGTGGTTGTTTGGGAGTGCTTGTTGGATAAAAAATAAGTGGTTATAGGATATTATTAAGGCATTTATGAGTGTTTTGTGAAAAAAGCACTTCTTTCAAACGGGGATAGTATAGGTAATTTGAATATTATGTGGGAGGAGATAAAAGCCAAAATTTTGAACTCATTCAAAACATTCCTAAAAAGGCATTTATTCAGGCTTATTTCTAATAAAGGTAAGTGCTTATTGGTGTGGTCTCAGCCTAAAATAAATGTTTTTTCCAATAAATGCTAAAAAAATAGGGCTTACCTCTCATGAGCTGCCTCCAAGGCCATTATAGCAGCATGCCATTCTGCTTCAAGATTTCCTTGATCAAGGCAATTTTCTCCTGTGGCATAACAAACCTGATTTTTTTTTTCCATTTATAAAGACAACTAATTGCAGCAATCTCTGTTATTGAATCGTAGAAACCATTAGCAAATACAGTTCTAACATGAACTGGTGGAAACAAAGCCGGTAGATTCCTTCATTGATCCTTATTTATGGAATTGATGCCCCTTTTTTCTTTCCGTTCAAAAGTTATAATTTAGGCAACAGGTTTCTATGGATTCAAAT